AGTTGGTGGAGATTGATTAACAAAACCCAACAAAAGTCTTTGGTAGATGTTAGACTAAAAGGTAACCTAAATTTCCAATGTGAGACTTGTGGTGGCGTGTTATGTGGTGGCTGACTTCACAGTAAAGAGAAGAAAAATATAAGATTAAGCCATCATGAATTCGGGTTAATGAGAAGAGTAGAGCAGGTATTATCTTTCGAGTTACTTTGAGCTTCAATAAAGCATTTAATTTGATGAATCTGGATGAGAGACTATCACTTGAATTGCTTTTTCTTTCCAAGAGTGACGTGAGGTATCTTCATTCCATCTTTTGTGTTACGCTGTCCGATCGACGGCGTGTGAGTACTTATCTTGCCACTCTTCCTCTGCGAGGCCTGCCGACTCCGACGAGAAGCCTAAATTGGACGGGGCTCATCCTTCAAAATCCAGTTCAGGCAGCTATTTGTTAAAGAAGCTGCCTCTACCAAAGGTTGTATATCACTGGCCTCTCCTTAATCTTAAATCCTACAATACTGATGGTCTAAACTCTCATATGGGCACTCAATCATATAATCTTTCAATTCTAAAATATTTTACATATTGTTTACTTCCCAATTAGGGTTCAGGGATAAAATGCTACCCTCATACAAGGAGATAATGAATACTTGAATGAAAGGACAGAATATTGCTCAATAAGAAATGATCTTCAGAGTGACGCTTCTGATATGGCCAGTTCACAAGCTGACCATGAGCCCCCACCCCTAGGCAATGTGATAGGAACGCTAGGTGGTGCTGTGCAGTTCCACTACTGTCACTTTTTTTTTTTTTTTTTTTGAGACAAGGTTTCACTTTGTTGCCCAGGCTAGGGTGAGTGCTGTGGTGTCAGCCTAGCTCACAGCAACCTCAAACTCCTGGGCTCAAGCAATCCTCCTGCCTCAGCCTCCCGAGTAGCTGGGACTACAGGCATGCGCCATCATGCCCGGCTAATTTTTTTTCTGGATATATTAGTTGGCCAATTAATTTCTTTCTATTTATAGTAGAGACTGGGTCTCGCTCTTGCTCAGGCTAGTTTCGAACTCCTGACCGCGAGCAATCCACCCGCCTCGGTCTCCCAGAGAGCTAGGATTACAGGCATGAGCCAACTACTGTCACTATTACTAATGCTTGTTAGGTAGAAAACTCTGCAAGAATGTAAGATCCTCACTTGAAGGATATTTAAATTATATTTACTATAAAGTATATTTATTAAGGCAATAAAGGAACCAAAACACTTTAGAATGATTTTTCAGCAAGTATTAAAACAAAACATTTAGGTTAACTCTAAGAATAGACAAATTAACCAGGACATATTTATTTTCTGGGCATCGTGTTATTTTGAATTTCAGGGTATGCATATGCATTATAGTTGGCTTATTCATTACATAAATATAAATACCGTTGATTACACTAAATTAAGGCAATGCAGAATTCAACCAAAATAGTAATAAGACTAATAAAGAGGTCCTTCGCTTTTCTAGACTCAAAAAAACCCAATTTGCCATTTCGGTGCTCTCATTTGGAAGCATTGTTTGGTAGTGAGGACATGAGCCAGAAATATAAGTGATTATCTTCGTTCTCTGGAACAGTAACCGACTAAAATGCCCAATTTTCCTAAATAAAATAAACTTACCTGCCATAGTGTGTTAAAGGCTAATTAAAGCTTCTGAAACACATAAAATAGTAATAATCTCCATCAACATATCAATATAATAGAATCAATAAATTCTAGAGGATGTCTGTTTTACAAAAATTGCTCAGTAATAAATAAGAAATTTTAGTTATTTAGTATAGCAAAATACTGCTATCACAAATATATTAAGTACATAAATTCAAAAGTTTAACAAACTTCCTCATTCATGTTATAGGAGTTTGTGAGGGGAAACAAACACTAACAGTTCTCAGTGTTAACATTAGGAAGTGAGAAAGTACAAAACATTATCAGTTTTCATGTTCACTTCTGTTTTACTGAAGTGGAAAATTCTTTGCATTTATTATTGTGTTTCTGAAAACAAAAGAAGGAAAAAAACATAATTTTTAAATATAAACTTTGAAAAACTAGCAACAAATCGTATCTTTTATTTGTTCTATTCTTTTTTGAATGGTTGTATCAGGGAGAGTATGCAGGAATATGCATACAAATTAGATATACCATTTTAGGAATTAAAAAAAATAGATATGCCACCTAAAAATTGTAGCAATGGTTATCTTAACATATTTTTCTATAAATGAATGGTTTTCTAAAATTACAAAATATTTATGGTATCAGCAGTATAAGACAAAAAATAAATTACGAAAGTTTCAATCCAAACAGGAAAAACTGTTTGTTTTAGGCAACATACAGGAGTTTTGAGCAATGCAGAGTTGCCTGAACTGTTTTAGGCAGCATACAGTTATGTTTTAGGTAACTTAATTCAATTCTTAAAAAAAAAATTACTGTAGAAAGAGCTATCATTTGTGCCCACATGCTAATTTCTCACTATACAATGCTCTGCCAGGCTGAAAGTTACTATTCATTATTCATTCATTCATTCATTCATTCATTCATTCATTCATTCATTCATTCAAGATGAAGTGACTGTGACTGTTCCTAAGTCCTGACTCATGAAATAAATTATTAGATTGCAATGATAGATATTTTGATTCAATTCTATGTACTTATAAAAACTGATGCAAACCCTCCCTCCACATTTTAATCTTGACACCAAATTCAGGTAGGAAAAATTAACTTAAAAGTTAAAAACCTACGTTGGCAGTGGAAATAGTTAAATAATTTTTTTTTAAGAGAGAGGGTCTCGCTCTGTCACCAGGCTGGAGTACAATGGTGTGATCACAGCTCATTAAAACCTCGAACTCATGGGCTCAAGCCATTCTCCTGCCTCAGCCTCTCAAGCAGCTAGGAGTACAGGTATGCACCATCATACCCAGCTACTTTTTTATTTTTTATAGAGATGGGGTCTCGCTGTGTTGCCCAGGCTAGTCTCAAACTCTTGGCCTCAAGGGATGGGATCCTCCCACCTTGGTCTCCCAAAGTGCTGGGATTATAGGCATAAGCCACTGTGCCAAGCCTAAACAAAATATTTATTAAACCAAAGCCCCTATATTTTAATGTAGTATAGCATAAGATAGCAATTTAAATGTGTCTATATAAATGTTAGTCATAAATAAAGTATTATAATAATTCTCAAATTTGTTTTAACACAACTATGTAACATCCAACATTTCTAATATTTGCTGGGAAAATTTTGAATATTCTGAAGGCTTGGCAAAGATGCATTCTGCAAATGCAAACAAAGGCACCTGTTAATACAGGTTTGTCCTGTGAATTTCCAAAGGTCTTTTCAGAGTAAATATGGCTTCTCCCGGAAGCCAGAGGCTTCTTTGAACTTCCTAGCATGAAAGCCTACAGACTGACAACTGTAATTCCTTCCTCATGTGACTCTACTCCCTTCTTGCCCTCATTAAAAATGCAGACTGATATTCAGCTTACAGTCCTTTGGAGCTAAGGTTAGTGCCAAGAAAAGGTTGCCATTCCAAGTAGAAACCAGGAAGAAGCAAGGTAGTGAAGAACAGCAGATATCTACTTAGTCACTCTGGTTAAGTCAGGTTTCAGAACACACAAGTCCTAAGGGGTTATTAAACCCATGTGCTTAACTGTGAAATTCTGTATTAGAAATTACATTTTTTTCAAAATTAGAACCATCACATGAAAATACAAAATGAACATGAGCCAATGATGTTTCTCACATGAAAACCCAGCACAATCCAAGGCTAAGTTATTAAAGGTACCATGCCCAGTCAGAGGCACTGCTTAGACCACACTGCAGAAAACCGTGCTGGGCCCTGAGCACAGGTAGGACCTAGGCACTGACAAAAAGGGGCATGTCCACTGACAAAAAATATAGACTTGTTTTGGAAAGATTTGGAAACAATAACCATGCCTTCTGAGGTCCAGGTGAAGAAAAGAGGAAAGTTTAGCCTTGAAAGGAACATAATGACTACCTAAAAGAAAATATGGTTCAAGCTGTGTTTCAAATCAGTGTTTTCATGTGAGTCCTCATGGGTCCTACAAGAGACCCATTTTCTGGCCCAAAATGGAACCCAAGGCTTTTTAAAAATGTATTTTATTATAGATTTGAAACTACAGGAAATATAATAAAATGAACTCCTGCGTTCCCCTACTATAGTCAAAATAATGGAAGGCATGATCACCATAAAAAGTATTGGTCTTAGGTGGTGGCTATGAGAAGCACATAAAAATTCTAAGCTAGAATGGGTTCTCTTGTTTCAATGCTTATTGTTCCCTAGCTTATTTTTCTCTGTGGCACTTATTCTTTTAATATATGTTGTTAATTCATTCTTGTTCATTCGTTTGTTGTCTATCTCCTCCCACATGAGGCCAGAGACTCTTTTAATCACTGATGTATTCCCAGTGCCTAGGATAGTGTCTGGCATTGAATAAATTCTCAAGAAATATTTTTTGAAGGAAGGAAGGCAAGGAGGGAAATGTCCACAAGTTAAAAGAATACTCAATATTTTCAGTTTGGAAATGTACCAATGTGTTTACTTAGAACTATGCAGGAAGGTATGGACCCTAAAATACCATATTATAGTTAGTTTTCAAATGCCCAAATCTAACTGGGGAAAAAAAGGTAATGCAAACATTTAACTTACTTTAAAAGTTTATAATATGCAAACCGGAACAGTTCTTGGATAAAGACTGAGACCAATACTCCAAAGATCAGCAGATATTTCTGTATTGGTCCTTCTCTGTTGTCAGCAATGGCTCTTGCCACGAACCAAACAAGGGATGAAAACAGTAGAGACACCAACCAGAAGAAAGCTCTGAAAAATTAGGGAGAAAAAAGTTACAAGTGAACATAAGTGCAAGATTAATAATTATTTAAAAGTGAAAAAAACCTGCTTGAGGAGGAACAGATTTCCTGGCTTTTTAATAAGGAAAAAAAGTCCTCATAAAGGGATGCTCTGGATCAGTTGTACACTTCTTCTGGTGAGACAAACATGTAGTCCCAGAGAAATGTGGTATTTTCCAACAATTACTTTTTTGGTGACCCTACTGCAAGTACATCTGCAAACTCTATCTGCCAAGGACTGTCTAGCTGGAAACTTGGTTACTCGCTACTCTTCCTAATCAATGCTTTACCCATCAATGTGCCAAAACAATAAAACATACAACCTGTGACTATTGCAATTTTCATATCCTTAAAACCTACCAGAGATTATGGATTTAATGGTCAGATATCTGCAAAGATGAGTGTCTTTTCCAGAAAAATGTGTACATCTCTAGTAATAGAGTGATTGGTATAAAATCAAGAGGTTGAAAACCTCTGCTCTGATCTAGATCAGTTTTCTACATCAGGATCTTCTAAGACTTCTGTAGACTCTAATGATTATAGCAAGCTTTACAAGCTTTTATCTGAAATCTCCACTGATATAAAAATGAATGCGATGCAGCATTTTCAATACCGTTGTGGGAGATGAAGCAGCTCAGAAAAGCTGAAATCACCGGCCTAGCTAGTATGGTGCCAAGGGAGACTCATGAGGGGAGAGGATAGGTGGCATATTCCAGTCAGTAAGAGCTGCCAGACAGGTTAAAACAGGGATCATGACCACACTGGCCACCAGAGTTCGGTATTTATCAAGCTCGCAGGTGGAGACGCACAGTCAGGTGCTTCAGTGTTTTCACAGGTTTCCAGCCTTTGCTGCACACCTGAATCATCTAAAAGGATCTTAAAAAAAAAAAAAATACTGAAGCCCTTATGTCTCCTAGACATTCTGATTAAATTGATCTGGGGTGGAGGGTGCGCATTAGCATCTTTTAAAGCACATGGCCCCCAGGTAATTCTAATTGGCACAGAGTGACAGAACTACTATCCTAGACTCTAATGGTTCTTAACCATTTTTGGATTACATATGCTTTTTGAGAATGTAAGGGAAATTAGGGACACCCTCTCCAGAAAAATGAAGGATGTATATATGAAATTATCCATAATTGTTTCATACAACTTTGGCGGCTCCACGGTTCACTAAAACCCACCCATGGACCCTAGGCAAAAGGTCTCAGGAGCCAAACAGCGGGGCTCTGACCCACAGTGTGAGCGAGGAGGGCGAGGAGCCTTGGGGGAGCAGATCGCCGCTCTCCCCTCTCAAACCTGCTGCCCCAAACCCAACAAGGTCGAGCCGTTTGGTGGGTACCCAGGGGGACGCGGGTACCCCCGGCGGGGGAGGGGGGCCCCGGCGTCCGGGTTTCCCGGCGCAGCCGCCTCACCCGGCGATGAGGAAGATGATGCGCAACGACTCGGTGGCGATGGTGAAGATGTAGAGGGCGAGGGCTGGCCCGAAGGCAATGAAGGCGCAGCCGAAGAACACGGCCGCCGTCATGGCGACCGCGGAAGGCTGCCCCGGGGCCTGCAGGGGACGCGAGATGCTCCGGGCGCAGGCGGGGCGGGGCGGCGCGGGGCCGAGGGGCGTGGCGTGGGGGCGTGGCCGGACGGAAAGTGGCCGCGGCGAGGGGCGGGCCGGGGCGGGGCGCGAGGCGGGGCGGATGCGAGGGGCGGGGCGGATGCGAGGGGCGGGGCGAGGGCGGCCGCGGCGAAGGGCGGGGCGGGACGCTAGGCAGGGCGGAGGTGAGGGGCGGGGCCGGGCGGCGGCGAGGGGCGGAGCCCTGGCGAGGGGCGGGGCATGGAGTGTGGACCTAACTGCAGGTCCCTCGGAGACCCGGGACGTCTGGGCCTAGCGCGCTGTGCCGCAGGGCCTGTTTCCCAGGCGAGGGTGGCTGGCGACTTTAGGGCCCAAGCCGTAGCCCCCGCCATCACCGATACACATTGATCGATCAGCCGCGAGGTGGCTGAGAGGAGGGGAGGTCCCCCCATCCTACCTTGAAGCTGCATGCGCCGAAAACAGGAACAATTCCAGGTCAACTCAAGAAAAACAGCGCAGGCCGGAGGCAGGATTCCTTTTTAAATAGAGGATTCTTTTTTAAAGCACATTTTACCGGTCTGTATTCCCTCCATCCTCTCCCCCCTCAAAAAAAGCAAAGAAAAAAAGCACATTTGCATAGTTGAAAGAACTTCGTGCTCCATCAACGTGCAAAATCTGGGCTGGGATAGCAGTGACCCAGGCATTAGCCAGAGGTGGTAAAATGATCAGTGGTGGTGGAGGAAGCTGTGCTTCTCAGGGGTGTTTTGGCCAGCTGGTTTTAATTTTTTCTCCCAAATCTTGTTTTGGAAGGCACTTTCTGACCACCGTATAGCGATAGTAATGTCGCCCTGCTCCATCCTCTGGCAGAGCATTTATTAATAACTTGCTCATTTTTCTTCCCTGTTAAAATGTAAACTGGAGGACAGGGCTTCGCTTTGTTCGTTGTTGTTTCCTCAGCACCTGGAAACAGCTCACTAAATATCTGTTCAGTGAATGAAATAATTTAAAAAGTGGAACATAAAAACATCTATTTTATATTAATTTAACAATTTCTGAGAGGTTTAAAAATTAAAACTGGAAGATTAAGTCCCCTAACCATTTACATTTTAAGATAGATTGTTCTCTGTGTTGAATGAGAATAATAATACCTCCTGGCTTATTTTGAGGAGTGTGCCTGGCACAGGTAAGTGCTATGTTAAGTGTTAGCCACCCCTACTCATTTTTTAATATCCGTCATGAATAAAACTGTTGGCGATCCACATTGAAAAGACAAACACCAGTAGACACAAGTTGGGACCTGAAGGGAGATGTTTTGCACTTCACTTCTGAAAATGGGCCTTCAAATAACACAACAGCAAGTATTTAGTTCTTAAAGAAAAACGTCAACTTTGCCTATTTAAAACAGTGATATATACTTTCCACTTACTCCCACAGAATACTTCTTCAGACACCAGTGTGGTATTTTGAATATCTTACCTAGCACCTGTCAAGACTCATGTTATGAAAAAGTTCAGGGTGATAGAGCAACTTGATATTAGGTAGATTCTTTTGGTTTTATCCTCAATAAAAGTTATCAAATACAATTACTTCAGCTTCATGCCGAAATGCCTTCACAGAAGCATAATACACTGTGTTCTTGGTGTAAAGTAAGGAAAATTTAAAAAATGCCCTTAATGCTTATTATTAACTGTTTCATTATCATTGTTCAATATCCTTAATAGATCTATGCTTTACTTTTTGAGTTTGGGACTAGAAAAAAGTTTTGTTTCTCCCAACAAATTCATATCCTCAGATACATAGCTAACATTATATTCAGGCTTCACTTTGACTCTCAGGAAGCTTGGAGCTAAATTTAATACTCAGTTATAGCAACTACTCTTCTAATTTTTTTTAAAGTAATAATTACTGGCCTGACTTCACACTAGGACTTCTTCTTTTACCCTCTTTTAATGATTTGATTACCCTGATTTTAACCGAGATCTATGTGTCTTGGTCAAAGCTACCTCACACACTTTGGAGGTAGGCAAGTTAATGAATAATAAATATTATTCATAATGTTATACATAAATTATGTAAAACAACATCCTTACCCCACCCTCAACATGTGGAACTACAAGTTGGGGGAATTTGCATTCATGAATTTTTGACCATATTTCTGTTCAATTTTGGTCGCCAAGTCCGGTTGAAAAATGGGAAGGCATATGGAATGTAATGAGTCTACCCCTCTATCTGTGAAGACATCTTTAACCGAGGTCTGTTCAAATAGAAGACAGGAAAGCAACTGGAAAACTGGCAAAATCACCAATAAAATAGTGGCATTAGCATTCATGGTTATTTACTAGAAAACTTACTTCAAGCTTTCACTGAATAATAGTATCATTTTACATTCATATAATGCATTGTTGTTTCAAAGCACTTTTACACTGATTTCAACCAATGCTGTTTATAAGTGAGGAATTTGAGGCTAAGTAGTGGTGCTATTGACTCCTTAAGTCTTTATGAACTTACTATTAGTTTCCCCCAAAGATGTGAAAACAACAAGGTACTAAATGATGTTGGCTAAAACATGGGTGGGGAGAGGGGACAGGTACCCCTTATGGATATTGTTCAATGAATGTACTTGAGCTTTGTTTGTGTTCTGGTAGTGTTGATAGATTTTTGTTTATTCAACCATTCATTCATTCAAAATATAAGTATTAGGCGCAATGTTGGGCATTGGGAATATACCAGTGAAGCAGATGTGCTCCTGACTCCATGGGGCTTACATTGCAGTGCGGAAGGCAGACAGGGCGCTGTGGGAATATACAAGAAGGGGGAAGGGCACTGAATCTAAACTTGTGAGGTTTTGCTAAAGAAGATAACACCTAGTCATTCTTTGGGTCTCAGCTTAGGAGTTAGCAAAGATAGGCAGTGGGGCAGAGATGGAAGGATGAGTGGAAAGTCCTCAAAGTGAAAGAAAAGGCATCTCTGAGGGGCAGAGAGTAGTTCAGGATGGCCTGAGTGTGTGAAGAGAGGAACAAGAGAAAAGACTGGAAAGGCTAATGGGGGCAAGATCACAAATGCATTTTAACCAGTGACATAATCAGATTTGCTTTGTAAAGGTATGAAAAATGGGATTCCAGACAGGAGGTCCTTGGCATGCTGCAGCATGAGATGACAGCGGCCCCAATCAGGGAATTAGCAGGAGTCTGGAGGGAAGCAGACAAACTGAAAAGAGATTCAGGAATGCAGATTTAGTGACTGCTGAACTACACGGAGTGAGAGAGAGGGACAAGTCAAGGATGATGACTTCTAGAGGTTTTCGACTCACGTGGTTGCTGTGGAGACAGGAGGACAGAGTATGGGAAAGGAGATGTGCTAACAGGCACCACTGAGGATGCCCTGAGGTTGAGAAGCTGGAGAACACTCCAAATGGAGTTGTTCTGTAGGCAAACGGATATTCAGGATCAGCACGGACCTGGATTGCAAACCTAGAATTGAGACTCTTCTGAACACCTGAAGCCTTGATGGTGGGTAGAATCATCTAGAGAGTCAGTAAAGCAAGGGTAGACCTTTGCCAAAACACCAACACTTTCAGGTATGAGAAGAGGAACCTCAAAGGAAACTGAAAAGGGGCAGCTAGGAGGGCAACAAGAAAACTGGAGGAATGTGGTGTCATGGAAGTCAAGGGGAAAAACATTCCAGAAAGAAGGGCTATTGAGAGGTTAAATAAGCTACTAGTGAAATATGTCCACTGGATTAGCCATGAGGTCATTAGTGACCCTAAGACATAGGAGCAAAAGCCAGTCCACAAAGTGTTCTCGAATGAATGTGGTGAGAAAAAGAGGAAAGAGGAGAAATTCAGCTTTGGAGGAGAGGAGACAGGACACCATCTGGAGGAAGACATGAGATTGAGGGGTCCATCAGAATACTCAACCCAGTTTCCTTAGTAACAAGTGATGTAGTTTGATCCTGCTAGGATCCTGCAGGACAGACAGAGTGACGCTGCTTGCCCTGGAGGAGTCAACCTGAAGACCCAGGTTTTATTAGCACTTTTTTGTTGATGGAACAGTATGAGAGTCTTAAGGAAGTAAATACTTAGAAATAACTACATACTCAGAATTAATTCAGCTTCAGCTTGCAAACAAAACTCACTACTGAATTTTTTTTTTTTTTTTTTGAGACAGAGTCTTGCTTTGTTGCCCAGGCTAGAGTGAGTGCCATGGCGTCAGCCTAGCTCACAGCAACCTCAAACTCCTGGGCTCAAGCAATCCTCCTGCCTCAGCCTCCTGAGTAGCTGGGACTACAGGCATGCGCCACCATGCCCGGCTAATTTTTTCTATATATATTAGTTGGCCAATTAATTTGTTTCTATTTATAGTAGAAACAGGGTCTCGCTCTTGCTTAGGGTGGTTTCGAACTCCTGACCTTGAGCAATCCGCCCGCCTGGGCCTCCCAGAGTGCTAGGATTACAGGCATGAGCCACCGCGCCTGGCCTGAATTTTTTTTTTTTTGAAAGGCAATGCAAGAGGAAGAAATCATAAGAGAGAAAAACAAGGAGGGAAAATGGGTCATAAGGAATCAGATAAAATATTACTTAACTACCCAGTTATACATGGTCATAATGCCAAGATGTCGATTTCATTTGTATTCCAAATTTACAAACCATAAAAAGAAATAGCTTCTTTTAGACATCAGAGAGACAAATTACAATAATGGTAGAATATCAGATGATCTGCAGTAGAGTAATTACCAATGTTTGACAGAATTTCAGAGCTGGGAAAGGATCATCCAATATAATTTTTAAAAATGCAAACAGATAAGAAAACAAACCTAGAAAATGCCCCATTAATTAGCAGCAGAACCAACCTGCAACCTGGAAGTCTTGATTTGTAGCTCAGGCCTCTTTGTACTAGATCCAACTGCCTCAATTGAGATGTTATTTTTGATAATTTATTGACCCCTGTAGCTACCTATATGAAATACTTATTTTCTCTAAAATGTATTACATTATTTACTCCTAAGGACCAAAGACTTAGTTCATATGGATATTTAGCAGTTGCTATTCTTACACACAGCGGTTGCTACTTTTCTTTCATATCTTTCATTACTTTTACTTTAGAAGGGTAAATATATATATTTATTTAACTTATTATTTATTTATTTTACTTGCTATGGGGCATTCTCATATATCCCTGGAACTAATATTGGAAAACCTAAATCTTGAGGGTAGGAAACAGGAAGGTGCAAACAGGGTTTACTCAATTTATCAATACCTCTACAGCGTTCTGGGTGATTCACCTTAGCAAATGGAAATTCTTCTGTATTTAATAATAGTATAAGGTAAGGACCAGAATGAAGGCCAGATAATGAAGCTTCTCATTTTTATCAATGCACTTACTGGGGCATTTATGGATTTATAATACTTGAAATCTTTCTTTAAACTAAAAAGTTAAATCGAGAACAAAACTTCTAAATTACACCTAGCTCCTAAATTACACATAGCTTTCTTCAGTGGCATGTTAATTTTTATGACTACTGAAGTTCACTGATTCTTTGAACATTTATTAAATAACTACTATGTGCCAGGCCCCTTACTGGGTATGGTGGATACAAAAACTAAAGATGTGTTTCCCACCCTTCAGGAGCTTAGAGTCTACCTAGTAGGGAAAGAAAGTAAACAGACAACTCGAATCCAGTGCAGTAAGCAACACTTTGGGCATGTACTGGAGGCTTCTAACCAGGGATGGTTTGTGGCTAAAATCTTCCCAGAGAAAATCTTACTGTGAGTCTGGAATGGAAAAGCACGATGTGTTTGGGGAACTGGAGGATCAAAGAAAGGGCGTGACTGGAGAGAGAGATGCGGGGATGGCAAAGGACTTTGCCACGCACACGAGTTGAGGTTTTATCCCAAGGTTATGAAGTACCACTAAAGCATTACATCTAGCAGTGACAGGATACGATTCAATTTAGAAAATGTCTGCACTGTGAAAGTTGGACTGGAGGAAAAAGACTGGGAGACTGGGGAGGAGAGGTTACAGTGATCTGGGCAAAAGCGGAGGAGGCCTCCACAAAGATAGAGGCAGTGGATAGATTAGAAAGAGATGAAGGAGGTCGGACCTGTAAGATCTGGAGGCTAACTGGGGATCTAGATAATGGTGCTATTTATTAAGATGGAGAAAGAACAGGATTCCCACCCCGGGATTGGGGTTTGCTGGGGAGGTGGGAAAGATAGAGTTGAGTCTGAGTTTCACACATGCTGTGTTTGATGTTCCTCTAGTAGATCCAAGGGGAGATGTCCCATAGGCAGATGGACTTTTAAGCCTGGCCCTCTGGAAAGAGGGTGGAGCCAGAGATACACATTTGAGAGCTGTATTAGCTTCCTCTTGCTGCCGTGACAAATTACCACAACCTTTGTGGATTAAAGTAGCACAAACATGTTGTTCTCTTATAGTTATGGAGGCCATAAGTACAAAATGGGTCTTCCTGGGCTAAAATCAAGGTATCAGGACAGGGTGGTTCCTTCTGGAAGTTTAGAGGACAACCTTATTCCTCCCTTTTTCCAGATTCTAGAGGCTGCCACGATCCTTGGCCCACAGTCCTGCATCACGTCACCTTTTCTCCCTTTGCTCCCATCACCATGTGGCTTTCTTCTGACTCTACCATGTCCCTCTAAGAGGGACCCTGGGATTACACTGTGCCCATCTGGATCACGCAGGATAATCTCCCATCTCGTGATCCTCGATCTCATCTGCAAAGTCCCTTTCACCATATAAAGTAACACTCACAGGTTTCGGGGATTAGGACATGGACATCCTTGGGCAGGGGGCAATTATTCAGCCTTGCCACAGAAGTTATGAGCATTTAGAGAGCCATGGAAAGGGATGAAAGTATCCTGGAAAAGTGGGAATCAGGAGGATATTGTCACACAGAAGCCGAGGGAAGAGAACATTTCTGGGTGGGGAGAGACACCCTGGTCAAATAAGGACTGAAGATTGTCCACTGCTTTAGCAACTAGGCCATTGTAAGCACAAAGGCAGCAAAGTGGCGGGGGGTTAAGGAATAAATGGAAAGTGGAAAAGTTAAGAGAGTAACAGCAGTAGGCAACTCTTGGGAAAAGCTTATTTTAAGAGGAAGAGGAGAAAGAGCAGCAGGTAAGAGAGGGACACAAGGCAACAGGGTGGGAGGGCTGAGGATGCCCGGATGCTGTGGGAAAAGGGCCATGGCAGGGGAAGAGTTTGAAGGTGTGAGGGAAAGAGCTGTGAGATCCCAGAAAAGCGGCCTAGGGTAGGAGGACAAATCCAGAGAAGAGGCAGAGAGTGAGCCTGGAGTAGGAAGAATGCCTTTGCTACCAAGAGGAGGGAGCTAAGATGATGGAAAACTATAGCTCAGGGAGGGGAAGGAGTGGTTTGAGACTGATGCTTTTCTCGGGGAGACGGGAGATGCAATATCTATGAAGATTTTGAGAGGAAAGAGGTAGGAAGCTTAAGAATAGTGAAGGTTTGAAATGGTTGTGGGATGAACGGGAAAGGCTGAGACTGGGAACATGCACAAGCAAGGTAGGTAGGAGAACATTAACAGGGCTGGTGCCATCAAACTAAGTGAAAACAAAACAACAGAAGCTAAATTTTCAAGGACTAAGAAGAGAAGGATGATTAATTTAAGGCTACAGGTTCTACAACTGAATAACTTCAATGTATCCTGAACTAAGTATGAACAGAGCATCTGGCCATTTTTCTAAGTCTTTAAACAACTCCGGGTCAGATATAAAGTTTGCTAAAATAGCTCAAGTCTACCATGGTTTGAATCATACACCTACCACATTTACAAAAAAATTTTAAAAACGAAAAACCAATTCAAAAAAGCAAGAAGAATTTCAATAACGAAGTTTTAATTTAAAACAAAAATAATGGAAAAAAAAAAAGTTCACCTGGAATAAAATCCATTTTTTTTTAAAAAAAAACCACAGCATCAGTATCAGTACACAGTTAATGAACTGGCTTAAACAAGATTAAACACATGACAGGTCCACTTTATCTGCAGGAGCTTTTCACATTAAGCCATTGGAGTAAAAATAAAGTATGTTTAAACATACACAGTAGGATAATTCTATGGAAAAACTAGATATTCTCTGTTAGGGGCATGATTTTTGTCAAATAGTTTATGGTATTTTTGTATTAAAGGAACTGCAGCGTCAGCTGCAAACAAACAAAATAAAACCCATCTGTAAGGCCATAGGAATGAACTATGATTCACATTTTTAAAAAAGGTAAGAAAATGAAATAAGACGTTCTATTAGCTCTTGGCAACAAGAAATGCAATTGCATATGGCACATGCATTTCAAGAAATTAAGTAAAATCTGAAGATATCCCTAAAATAATTGTTTACTAATTTTCATTTCTGTACATTTCAGTCATTTAGATTTTTTCATAGTGAACATGACATTAATTTTATTAGTCTAAAAGAAAGATTGATTCTACTCTAAAATTGTGCTGGAATTTGAAATTTTATTAGCCATAGCCTGTCCTTCCAGGTCCCTCTATACATCAAGGGATTTCATTTTTAGACATTCCTTTCTGCCCACCCCTGCCCCTCCAGCCTTTGGATGGAACAAAAATGAAAAAGGAATGTCTTTTCTGTTTAAAAGATAAATTCTAAAAACCCTGATTACAGAAATGAGTGCTTAAAATTTGAGATAAGTAAACCAAACATACTGAAATTCAGTTTTAAAATTTTAAGCTTAGAAACTCTTCTTTAAAGATTAGATTTGTAAAGGAATTTAAGTCATGAATTTGAAAAGAATGTCTGCTTAAATGTATTACTTACTTATCACAGGAAAAACTTTATAAGCCTTAATACAGACTCTCAGCATTCAGAACCTGTAAAATGGAGTTATAATCTCTTACTTAGAAACTTCTGCAAAAATGTCTCTATATTGCACAGCTAAATTTATTAATGGAAACAAGGAGATAATACTCTTTTTACTCTACTGGGTATGACATGTATGTTCTACTCTAAACTAAGGTATCTCCTATCTTTTTCAAAGATGCCTTCAGTTCAAAATGAAACATATAATCTAAATTTTGTTGGATGCTTAAAGGCTGGCTCACTGTTTTTCTACCAGGTATTAGAATACTATTATAGTTAGCTAAATGAGGTATAATTAAAAAATAGTCCTTCAAAGTAAAGAGTATAGTCTTCTGAAAATTTATAACAAAGACTGCACAAAATGTTTATGTAAGTAGTAAGAAACCCTGCAGCACCTCCTAACTGATGCACAGGTGGATTATTTTATCATAATCTGTCTGAAGTAAAATATAGCTAAAATAAGTTCCCAGTGAAACATTTTACAATCAACTGACTTACATGCTACTTAGTTACAGCACATTTTCACTGAAACCCTCAGCATCTACTTGAAAAGGTCTAATCCAATCATTGTCAAAACTTAGCACATTGAAAATAAAGTGCAGCCACTGAACCACTAATACTGCTGCAAAAATTTTCATGTACTTTATCCATAAGACCACAAAAATGTTCACAAAAAACTAGATTTCTTCAGTTTCAGCAGGGAACAGACAATTATCTGTCACTAAATTCATCTACAAATAGAAAAAATAATGCACTATATGTACATTATTAAGCAAAGTGGAATATTTATTGGGTCATTTTACCATGCAGAAAGTGAATTTCCTATGGTCTTAGCTCGATTTATATACAATTAGCAAAGCTAAATGTAAGAAAATAGCAAGGACAATTTATTTTTATATAACAGAGCATATACTCCCAATTTGCTGCTACTTCAAAGAGCACTTTTAGACTCATCTAACTTTTTTACAGGCTCTTTCAAAGGGGAAGTTCATGGAGACTAGTTGTTAACTCATATAAGACAAAAGAAGAGAGGAAATTGAACAAAAGCAAAGCATTGTGTTAAAAAAAAATGTAAAAAGCTAACCACAGAATATGTCAGTTTTGGTTTGCAGACAACCCCTGAGATATAAACCAAAGTGTTAAGACACCAAATAGTCAGAGGTAAATTACTAAGAGAATTACATTCATACATGGTGTCATAGCACTTGCCTTTTAGAAAGTACTTTGTTACCATCCAGAAAGCTTAACTGCTTGGAATTTCTTCAGAAAATTAGTGAAAACAAGATGTTTCTAAGAAATTATTTTTCTTTTTGAGAATGTATTTAACTTGTATTTAACTTCAGACTTACAATCAAGTTTCAACCATGGAACTACTGATTGATTATATGGGGACAGCAATGGCTGACTTTTAAGTCTATAGGTAACTATAAAAATTATTAAGGAGGCTAAAATTTGTCAACAGTAAGTTTGATATATCCATCAAAACTAGCTCTGGTATAAATTGTAGCTGCTAAATCATTCCTAAGTTTTCAAACAAGTAATAAAGGTTGACTGGTCCAAGCGTTCTAAGGACATATCTTAATTTGAAGCAGAATTCTCTGTGGTAGGTAACAAGCAATCCATTTAGACTTCCATCTCCTGTTCTTAACTATCAAGCATGATAGTAGCCTTTGTGAAGCATGTTAGGCCTAACAGGAAGAATAATTAACAGAATTCATTTCCCTAATCACCTCTGTATTATTGCCTTCTGTGTTATGGAGCTGAAGGCTAGAACAACAGCAATGACATAGTGATCTGAATTTGGCACATAAGTTAACAGTAAATACCTTTTTTTCTTACGTGATGGTTTCATCTACAAAAGGTATACCAGTACCAGTGTTTGGTGAGAAAGGCAACTAAGCTTTCAGTGGGCTTTGGCCCAAATGATCAGACTAAGTTGTATAACAATTAACCTAAACAGATGGAACTGGGTTCTACATACTCAACAACAGGTATTATAAAACTGAAACTTTGATCGTATTTTCTCTAATAAAAAGGTGAGACTTTTCCTAGAGGCTGCACTAGGTCTAATTACTTTTATTAAAAAAATAGTCAAATAAAAACAAAACCAAAAATCATTATTTTCACCAATACCAAGAGCTATCTCTATTAAATTTATATCGACAAGTTAATCTCCCTATAGGTAAGCTTTCTGCAAGCTAAAATCTAAATTTAACTTTTGTCAACTTTTGCAGACAGGGATTATGGTAAGAATTGGGTATTACAACTAAACCAGCAAGCTAAGGGGTAAACCTTAGAAAAAATACATCCCATATTCTTATGTGACAGAACCACAGTTATATGTTGAAATAAAGCCCTAAATGGTACATCTTTTTGCCTATGTAAAATTTCAGCTGTAGAAGTTCACAAATAGAAATACAACAACACTCAAATATGTTATTAGTTTTAGATAAGTGAATAATTACATTAAGTCAAACAAGAGAAAGAATAGTAAATACAAAACCCCAGGAAAAGTGAGATTATGGTGATTTCCAACTACAGTTTCTATAGATTAGGCAGAGGTGATCAATTTATAACGTGATTCATTCAGCCACCCGGTCTCACAAAAAGGTCAAGAATGAGGCAAAACTCTTAACAATCTGAAGAAATAAAGACATTGTGGCCTCTGATGAATAAATGGGCATTTTTATAAAATTTTAAAAGGAATTTAATGATTCTTATTTAAGAAAATCACAAATCAAAGCATTTAAATAAATGCTTCCAAGGCAGCAACATTTGGCCATAGAACCAAACCAAGTATCTTTTAATTTTAGTTGGTTAACCTCTGCTCTAAATGTTCTGCTCTCTTTTCAACATCCTCAAATGTATGAATTTGTCTAGAATTTCATGACACAAAAGTGTGCAAATATACATCTAAGATTGTGCTGTAATAAGGAAGGCTAACACTGATGTGCAAAGTGAAAAAGAAAGATAGCAGCTTCTGCAAAAGGCAATAAAACAAAGAAAAAACAAGTTAGGTCCTGCAAGTGTCTCCACTTCATTGCTTCCATGTTTGAAAAAAGGAGCCTGTTCCATGAGGCTGGAATCCACGTGGCATTCTGTGGTGAGAGGTCTAAGTTGAGTGGTGCTCTCAGCAGCAGCCGGCGGTGTGATTCTGAGGCTGGGTGACCTGTGCTTTCAGAGAAGCAGGAAAGGGCCCTCTGGGTGTGCTGCAGTCTCTCAGAAAGAGTTCATCAAAGTAACGAACAACGGAAGAAACTGGTCTTCTTTGATCGGTTTTCTGTTATTTTCACTGGTCCACCTGCTCCTGCTGAATTGCTGTCGTTCTAAAAAAAAAATAGAAGATAAAGTTACCAAGGAAATAAAAGTTCCATGGTTTGATGCCAATCATCTAAAAAATGAAAATAGCAAACCAAACTATGTGAAATATGTATTCTAGTGAAATGTGCATTTCATTAGAGTATTTTATTAGAAAAGGAACTAGTTACGCACCAGTGTTGTCTTTTTCTTTGGAAATGGTGGATTAAAAAGAGAAAAATGTCCTTAGGATAGCACTTTTTATGTTAATATATTAACATAAAAAGGAAGCTCCTATTTCTAGTTCAAAGAAATTATAACCAATGAAGTGTAAAGTTTCAAAGGTAATGATGGAAACAATGTCAAGATACTGGTGTAGATAATCCTGTTAGAGGCAAGAAGAGTTGGTAATATAAGGTATTCAGTTATATACAGGACTCAGGTTAAAACAAACTTCCAAGGTTGTCCTAATGATTCATCCCTTGAGATAGTTTCAAATTCAAGCAAACTTTAGCAGCTTCAGTATCATAATTATATAGATATAAATATCTGTCACATGGAAACTGAACTAGATAATTTTATGGCAAAAATCTAATTTGTGCCATTATTATTTTCATTATTCTAATCAACATTCAATTAAAGACCACTTAAAGAGACAGATGAAAGAACTGAAACAGCTCTAGTTCAGAAATAAGAATCCTAAACAAACAGAAATAAGAATCAGCATTCAACCAAATGAATATCTGAGTCAGAAAAAAAATGATTTTAATGTGAATATATTTTAATCAAGCCTATCATTTTCATCAAATACAAAATAAAAAAAGAGCATAATGGAAATAAAAATTACAAGTGATACAAACCATTTTTCTGTTGAGTTTTGTCATTATATCTCGTGCAAGTGTAAAAAATGCCTACAGGTAAAACAAAAATTTTCATTATTATATAGTCACAATATATTTTAAAATAGATAGAATTTTCATTATTTCATCATAAATATATTACTCTAAAGATTTAAATTGAGAAAATAACAATTGTAATCATAACATGCACATGAATGTTCCACGCTTTTTCAATTATATCATAAACGTTTTCCAAAGTTAACAAACTGTCATCCATTCATCAAATACTTCCTTCATGTAATATCTGACACAAGTTCTTAACGTGACACATGTTGAATTATGAGCAGCCTCCTCAGTACACCAAGAACAGGGCAGAGGCTCTGTCTGAGCCACCCACATCCCCAGAGCAGGGCACAGTGTCTAGTCTAGGAAATGCTGAATGACTGTTTAATGAGTGAATGAATGATTATGTGTTATCCTGTAGCTCTAAAATTTGTCTTCACAAAAATATCTACTTTTTATTTCTGATCTCCTCTTTCAAATTGCTGTCACTCTTACACTTGAGTATGTGTAATCTTCCATGTCTTCACACTCCAATATCCCAACAGTTCCTACAGCTCAGACAATTCCCCTCCATGGAAATCAGTCCAATGGAAGCAGGATAAATCTGATTAATCTCAGTGATGCTTTATCCATAGTGTCTTTTGACTCAAATCAAATATTTTTTAAACCTATTTAATTTTGTTTCTACAAAGCCAAGAATCGTTAAAGCTTCTTCAGTTGCCTCCCTGTTAAACACACTGTTATGTCAGCCTCTTTGTTGCCAACTACTCTTGATCCCCAAAAACTGTTTAGGAAAGGGACTATTTCCAACCCAATCAAATACAAACAATATGATAACTACTATTATTACTCATTGTCAGCGTCTCACTGTCACACTGGCCACCTATGAGTCTAAGTTTCTAAATAAGCCCATCTCAGTTTTCATGAGGCTAACCACACTCATTAAAGCTCTGGAAAAATTGCTAACATTTGTACAATGCCTGGCTAGAGTAAGCAGCTCAGCAACTCCCAGCTTTATACTTCCCTAACTCAATGCTCTCTTCTCAGCCACAGCTATGATCAGGGTGCAGGTACTAACGGAGAATTGGCCTGCTCCACTGAGTCCGGGTTCCTTCTCTGGAAGCAATCCTATGGGGGCCACTTCAGTGAGCAAGCTTTTCTCCTGCCTCCACCATTCGAGCTGACTTAAGGGGCTCCCCTCTCTCTGATGGAGTGAAATCCTTTTGTGGCAAGCAGAGAGAAGTGTTTTTCTGCTTAAGTTTGTGTAAATAAATCAGTAGAGACTTCCTGTTTCCTAACACCCATTAGCCAACCTGAAAGAATGACTATTAGTTATTTAAAACAAAAAGTTCTGATCAGTGTCCACTGGCTAATAAAGTCATTTAAATCTCAATTTTTAGCCATTATGTTATGATGAACAGTGAGTAGCCTAAGAAACTAAATGTTTATGAGACCACCAGTATTATCAAGTGAATATTACATGTATTGTTTTTATGGTCAGTTTAAAATATGTTGTTTTAAAAAGAAAATATCATCAACAATTCTGCTCTTGTGAAGAAAATCTATTCTTAGAAGATTTTAGATGATTTGCTTTTCACTAACAGCTTACTTAATGAAAATGTATTGAAGCTATTCTCTGATAAAAACACCTTCTTATTTCTTTCTTTTTCTTTTTTTTGAGACAGAGTCTCACTTTGTTGCCTGGGCTAGAGTGCCATGGCATCAGCCTAGCTCACAGCAACCTCAAACTCCTGGGCTCAGGCAATCCTACTGCCTCAGCCTCCCGAGTAGCTGGGACTACAAGGCATGCGCTACCATGCCTGGCTAATTTTTTCTGTATATTTTTAGCTGTCCAATTAACTTCTTTCTATTTTTGGTAGAGATGGGGTCCTGCTCTTGCTCAGGTTGGTCTTGAACTTCTGAGCTCTAACGATCCACCTGCCTCGGCCTCCCAAAGTGCTAGGATTACAGTTGTGAGCCACCGTGCCCGGCCAACACACCTTATTTCCATTAAATGCCACTGTAGTACAATGTATTGTGTGTAATCTACTTCAGATGTGTATACTTAGGGAATTTGTTCAATAGCAGTTCAATTCTCTCTTGAGAGAATACAGGCATAAAAGTCATTTAACTCTTCTGCTATAGGCTACGATAGGATGACTTGAACGATTACAGATGAGCAGAGAACACTGCCTGGTCTGCTAGTCAGCATTTCTAGCTTTCCAAACAAAAGGCAAAACTGAACTTAAACTGAACTTCTCATCTCCTGTTCAGTGAATCTTAATTGAGCAATCTAATATAACCCATGTGGGGGCTGGATGCTAGAAATTCAACAATTAGAGTCCACAAAAAAGTCAGAAGCACAAAGTGCACACAGTGGAGGTGGGTCAACAAAAAGCATTCAGTAGATCAGAATATACCAAGGCTCTGAGAGGTGCCTGCACACAGGCACCCATGCACTGGTGTCACTATATAACAAGTCACCAATGTTTCCTTCTTACCTCTTCTACATTTGTACTAGATTTTGCACTTGTCTCCAAGAATTTAATTCCATAGTCAATTGCTAGCTGAAAGGCAAACAGAAACATTTAAATTCAGTGAAAGTTGCTTGAACATATAAAGCATTTATATTTTTTAGATTTTTCAAAGGTAGTATTTATTTTAGAACTCCTGTGGTTCTCAAATTTCTTTGCTTTCTTCTATTGTATTTGGAGTTTACTAATTCAACTTACTTATAAGAAAAATGGCACAACTTCCATTTATAACACAATTTAAGTACTTCTCTTTTTTTGTTATACTTTAAGTTCTCTAATATACTTACAAAAAAAAGCTATGAGATAAATTCCCACACCTACAATTAACTTGGGATTAATTCATCCCTTTTATCTGCTCCAAAAGTATAATTCTCCAACAGTTACTCTACTACTTTTAATTGCTTTTAATAAATTGGTCTATAATAGAACAAAAGCTTAAATACTGAAGTACTCCTTGCTTTGATTTCTACTGAGACAAATTGTGAACTCTTCCATATTTCCATCTACCCCCAGAAGAGTTCCTAGTTCATTTACAACACTAAAATTAAGTTTGCAGTCAGACTGAAAAACAAAACACATTCTGCATGTATCATTTTAAAAAAAGGCTAAAGCAAAATTCCAAGACTTAAAAAGTGAAGTCAATTTCGAAAATGCCACAGAAGTAATAAGGTACCCGACATAAATCTTTTGCATTACTGGACACAAAAGAGAGAAATATCTCTAAATGATACCCATAGCTTATCCATAATGACCTAAATCTAATACGTAGTAAAATATTCTTACAGGAAAAAATGAGTTAGAAAATGATTACTGTTGAAACTTCACCTACCCTATAACCTTTGCACAGAAAATGAATTACTATAACTTTAAAACTGAGCATTTTCACACAAATCTGAAAGAAACAGCCTGAAGTCTAAGCTGCAGGAATCCTAGAAAGGACCAATTTGTATCTCCCAGAAAACATTAGCAAATTCTTTAGGAATGAGTCATGACCACACAGTATATGGAGTTGGATCTGGAATACTAATTCCCACCATTCAAGTATGGATTACCTCTCTTTGTTGTTTACATCCAATTTTAAAGGATTTAAGCAGAGATATGTTTAAAACTTAGATTGATAATTAAATACTAAGAAAATAAATGTGAGCAAATTCCAACCTTTATCCATTCAATTCAAATTTACCTTCTCCCCTCTTTCTTTTGACACTTGTCTTTTGTCATTCATATCACATTTGTTACCCAGGATCATTCTTTCAACATCTGAAGAGGCGTGCTGCAGGGAGAAAAGAATATGCTATCAAAACAGCCTGAGGAATAGCGGTTATTCAATAGACAAATCCTAACCTGTCAGAAACACAACCACGAATTTAATAATTAGGCAAATAATCTTTCATTCCACACAGGGCCAGATCCAGAGAAAGTTACAGACGGGAGGAGGGGCGAAGTCACAGCGTAAGAGCCTTTGCAGAGCCTGTGCAAACCTTTTCCCCAGAGGGCCCACGGTCATTCTCACGTCATTTTCTGCACATGAACAAACAGAAATAAAACTTACAGCTATCTAACGACAAAACTTCCAAATATTTGTTTGGGTCAAAGAAGGAAAAAAAAAACTTGGTATTGAGTGACCCAATGGAGAAAGTATTCTGGATTCTGAACTATTTAAAAAATAAATTCACGTGGGCTAATATAAATGTGTACAAAATTATTCCAAATTTTTGTCTGAAATGTTAAAGGCATAAAAAAAAATTTAATACCAATTATCCTGGAATTAAAACAAATTTCAAATATCTAACATAGAGAAAATGTCAGAAGGGCAAAAAGCTGCCGGAGTAAAAATATATTTTTGCTAGTTAAACAGCATGGTGGAATAGCTAGAACCTGGGAATCACATGTTTTCATCCTGGCTCTCTTTTTTAAAGACTGTTTATGAGCATAGGCAAGTCACTTCTTCCTGGCCTTAGTTCCCTCATGTGTAAAATGGGGACTTGGAAGAGATTATTTCCCAGATCTGCCCTGAGTTTAAAATTCTGTGAAATTGCTCTTTCTCCCTCCCACCCCCGCCCCCCACAGTAGTCAGGCCGGCAGCGACTGAGACCCAGGCCTGTACGGAGCTCCTCAGAGCTCCTCAGAGCGAGGGCGCAGCCTGCCCATGCCTGTTCTCACAGCCCAGCTGCCCCTGGGAGGGACAGAGGAGCCCTTCACAGGCACCCAGCAGGACTCTGCCCCAGTATCAGCTTTTGCTTTCTGTGCATACCTCTTCAATGTTTCTTATCCAGTTTTTAATATTGTCAAAGGATTTTTCATTTGTGATGTCATAGACCAGCATAATTCCCTGTAAGAGGGGAAAAAAAGATCTTTATTTAGTACTGTATATATTTAAAGTTGTAGTATGTAATGTCAGTGTACCCTCTAGAAACCTATTGTTGTCCTCTTTTGTCTTTAAAAAGGGGTTCATAATAAATTTGAAGAGTACAGAGAAACAAAAATCAACAGATAAATTCTTCCATTGCCTCACCATGTAAATAAATAAAAACTTGGTTAACATTTTCACTGTTAACCTTTAATGAATTAGTGATTGTTGTAAAGGTGATACACCCTTTCTACCTGACCTAACATGATAGCAATCGGCACCAACTGGAGCTGAAAGAGTGTTTAAGTTAAAACAGAGATAACATTGAGAGTAAGAGTTAATCACTTCCATTGTACACTTGTTTATTCCAAGTAGAAACTCTCTTGCTCTTGCTCCTCTACTAAGATTGAGACCACACCGCTTTAAAATTATTTTTTGTATAGGCTGATCAAAATATCACTCTTTAAGTAAATCACAGACACTTAAAATATAATGCATTTGCCATACTGGTTTAATGAAAGGCATTGTTGTCATATTTTTAAAGACTCCATGTCTGGGATTTCTCAAAGATTTACCTTACAAATGTTTCAACTAATACCTGTATGTTAACTATTCCAGAATCTATATCCTTAGACCACACTTCTGTACTAACTCACCTGTCCATCCATTCAACAAATATTTAGTGAGTACCTACTGTGCGCTTGATACTATACTAGTGCTACCAGCAGTGAACAAGCTAGACAAAGCCCCCCAAAGCCCCACAAGAGAAAGGGGCTTTGTCTAGCTTGTTCACTGCTGGTAGCACTAGTATAGTATCAAGCGCACAGTAGGTACTCACTAAATATTTGTTGAATGGATGGACAGGTGAGTTAGTACAGAAGTGTGGTTTAAGGATATAGATGGCTAGCAGAGAAAACAGACGATGAACTAATAACCATACAATTAATTACAATTTTGACCATTGCTATGAAGAAGCACAGGGAGTTCTGAGCACATATCCTAGAAATGTAATCTAATCTGGTTGAGAGGCTGAAGGGGTCAGGGAAGGCTTCCCTGAGAAAATGACATTAAAGCCAAGGTCTGAGGACTGAGTAGACAAACTAGTCAAAGGGGTGGGGGCTGGAGTGAAGAGGGGAAGCCCACGGTGCCTGGCAAATAGCAGAAACATTATAAATATCTTGCTGACATTGAAGGTCCACAGCCCACTGGACTGAGTGAAAGAAAGTCAGCATGACAAGGGTGCAAAGATCTAATGGGAGAAGCCGGGCGAGGTGGCTCACGCCTGTAATCCTAGCTCTTGGGAGGCCGAGGCGGGCGGATTGCTCAAGGTCAGGAGTTCAAAACCAGCCTGAGCAAGAGCAAGACCCCGTCTCTACTATAAATTGAAAGAAATTAATTGGCCAACTGATATATATATATAAAAAAATTAGCCGGGCATGGTGGCACATGCCTGTAGTCCCAGCTACTCGGGAGGCTGAGGCAGAAGGACCGCTCGAGCCCAGGAGTTTGAGGTTGCTGTGAGCTAGGCTGACGCCATGGCACTCACTCTAGCCAGGGCAACAAAGTGAGACTCTGTCTCAAAAAAAAAAAAAAAAATAAAATAAAAAATAAAAAAAAGATCTAATGGGAGAAGGACACAAGATGAGGCCAAATAGGTAGGCAGTGGCCAGATGTGCCTTGGAGACCACTGTCTGGACATCGGCTGCTAGGTATCCCCTGTAGTCACTGCAGACTCCACTAAGGAAAACATGAGATTGTCTTGTCTCCTCTCAATCTTCTATTCTTCCTTGTGTTATCATTTTGGTGAATGGCACTACAACCCAGCCAGACAGCCCAAGCAAACGCATGGGAGTTATCTTCCTCTCCACAGACAATCACTCACTAAGTCCTGTAGACCCAAAGACCTCAGTATTTCCACAATCTGGCCCTCCCCCCATCACCACATGGTCTCATCCAGATTTTCATCAAGTATTCTTTACCTGGATTACTGTCATAACCTTTAATTGGTTTCCCTGCTTTCATTCTTAACTTATTTATTTTTTGAGCAGATGAGTGCTGTGAAATGATTTACCTTTTATTTATTTATTTTTTCAAATAAGTATAACGTCTTTTTTGGGGAGATAAGTTATCCATAACCTTGGGCATTTATCATTTCTGTGTGTTAAGAACATTCTAATTCCACTCTTTTAGTTACTTTAAAGTATACCCTAACTTATTATTGATTATAGTCACTTTGTTGTACTATCAAATATTGTCTTAATCTCTTCTAATCCACTTTCCATAAAGGCACCAATGCTATCACTTTATTGCTCAAAATCCTTTAGTATCTCTCCATTGCACTCAAAATTAAATTAAAAATTCCTTAGTATGGCAGGCAAAGGCCTTCAAGGTGTGGCTTCCAACTTTGTAAGTAAATGTAAAATATAAATGTAAATAAATATAAAACACATAAAACACACATATATACAGACAAAAGAATTCAGGAAATAAAATATTAACAGAAGGTATCTCTCAGAGTGGTGGGATTTTTGGGTGATTTCCTGGGATTTCAAAAATGTTTATACTATCTGTATCCTTTTTGCAACCAGAAAAAAAATATTATTGTTTAAATAACAAACAACATTCTCCTCTATCCTCCCTCCTCCCTGGCTCAAATGCAAATGCTTTACTTTGAGTGCATATTCTAAAGAAGATTTTATAATTGTCTCATTATGAATAATTTTATTCTTAAAAAATCAAAATGGAAAACTATACAACCTAAAAATGGTAAACTGGCAAATTATAGGTTATATATATTTTACCACAATAAAAAAATCAAAGGAATTCTGAATCATTCTTGATTCACAGTGTTTGGCTGCCTATATAATTAAAACTGACCAAGTAACTGTCATAGCGCCACCATCCTTTGGGTTGTATGAACAACCTTGATCATTTACATGCCATGTCATCATGAAATTTCACTTCACTTGGTTAGCATAGAAAGTGTGAACACAGTGTGATACTAAGAGTACAGGTCTAGCTTGGGCTCCAACATGTATTAACGGAAAGACCCTGGGGACATTATTTTATTCCTCTTAATTTCCATTTCTTCATTTGTAAACTGAGGACAATACCTCTTCATGCTGGATCATTTTGAGGATCTACTGAGATATTATTTTTAAACTACTTAACCTAGAACACAGACTATAACTTAGATTCAATAAATGATAACTATTATTAATTTATATCTTTTTTTGATTTCAACAGCAGAAATCATTTGACTATTGCTTACGTTTGTAAGCTAACTGATATTATGAATCAGTTGGAAATACAAATTCAAGTATATCAGTTAAAACTTTATATATCTGCTATTTAGCAATAAAAAAGAACAAAATTCTGTCATGTATGGCGATGTGGATGAGCTTGGAGGACATTATGTTAAGCGGAATAAGCCTGGCACAGAAAGATAAATACCACATGTTCACACCCATGTAGAAGCTAAAAAAGTGGATCTCACAGAAGTAGAGAGTAGAATGGTGGTTACTACTAGAGGCTGGAAAGCGGAGGGATGAGATGGGGCTAGTCAGAGGCTGCTTAACGGGTACAAAAGTACAGCCAGATAGAAGGAGTAAGTTCTAGTGTTCTATAGTGCTCTAGGATGACTGCAGTTAACAACAATTTATTGTATATTTTCAAATAACTAGAAGAAAGAATTTTGAATGTTCTTAACACAAAGAAATGATCAATGTTTGAGGTAATGGATATGCTAATACTTTGATTTGATCATTACATACTGTATACACATATCAAAATATGACACTGTACCTCATAAATATGTACAATTATTATGCATCAATTAAAATGACAGTAATAATTACAAAAGAGAATTTTAGAAAACATTTTTGTATCTAGTATGAATCCACAATAAAAATAGCTTCCTAAGAATTCAGAAGATGGTGTTGGTCTAGGAGAAATGTTGATAATGTAACGATATGGTCCTTTTTTCTCCAAAGCCTGATTGTTCATTAGGATTACTGCTATGTCTGTGACTGTTGTTACAGTGTCTGAAATAGACCAAAGAATTCTGCCCTGGTGGAGACTCCAGTACAGTGTTTGTCGACATGGTGCAGACCAACCTAAATCTGCCATAACACCCACTTGCCCGAAAATGGTACACCCCAATGAGAACAGGGTGGCCCCACATCCCACTGGAATAGATGACCTGAGAGATCCAGGACTCAAGCAGAGCAAGATTTCCTGAAGATTTATCTTAGACTGTTTCTAGGTCTGAAATTTTCCACTGATTTACCCCTTCAGCAAGTACTTACTGAGCATCTACTATGTGTCAGACACTGGCAATATATATAGCAGAACGGAAGAGACAAAAATCCCTAGCTTCAAAATGGAAAAGACAACACTATCTAGAATGGCAACAATTTCTAATTATCTGAACTAATGTGAGAAAACACTAGTAGTAGATAAATGAAAAAACAGATAATCCTCAAATCTAAATTAAATAACACATTCTAATGCCCTCTTTCTTCATACCATGAACTGGAGCTAGACATCTAAGTGAAACTGAAACATTTAATCCTCCATTCTAAGTGTTCCTGTGCACCCTCTAGTGAAAATGAACATGCAAATGGTGCAAACACATCACTCCCAGAATATTAAAAAACTGGTCATTAGAAAGGCTTGTGTGTCTAAGATGCCTCTACTCAGAATTACCTGTAAACGATTCCAAATCATCCCTATTATAATGTTCGTTTGATCCCTAAAATCCTTCCTAGGGGAACAAACAAAGAAATGTCTTCCTGGCACATACAATAAGTCTCTTTCCTTTGATTCCAATCTAGGCAAATAGAGAACAGTGGCAACTGTCTTTATTAAAATGATGATCTTTCACAATCTTAAAAGTATTATAGGGTGGAGTGTGGTGAACCTATACAAATAAAATAGTTAGTGGCATACATTTAAAAAGGAATCCCTAATATTTTTGTGGGGATGAGTTGTATCTTCCTGAAGGCAAAGGACAGCTGTCACCCCTTCAGCTCTGTCACCCTAGCACCACTCCCAGGAGTACAAGTCTTTTAAGCAATGAGTTGGGTATGATGGCCGATGGTACCCTACACTATACCAGGTTAGGTTCATAATCTCAATTATTCAACCTTCAAAGACTCTCTGAGAATACTGGGTTTCATCATAATTCAAAGCTCCAACCTGTGCTTGGCTCAGGCCTAAAGGTCAGAGATACAGCCTTGGTGTGGTCCTGGTGTTTCAGGCATGATTCAGCACATCTCTGCTTCCAAGCTGCCTTACTCACCACTGTACTCCCAGCACCACACAGGACCTGCCCAGAGCCAACAAGCAATATAAATGCATTGAATAGATGAAGCCTTTTAGGATGGAAAATAACCAAGTAATGAAGTTATGATAAGCAGGATAAGGCCAGGAGGTAGTAAACAAGGACTTGATAGTCAAGATTCACTAGGTTCTAAGCCTCAAAGTGTCACAGACCATTCGGCTACTTTCTAGCCAGCTGGCAGGATACTGGTCAAGGAGACTCCAGAGAGATGAGCATAAGCAGTGGATGTCGCGGGCGTGGTGGGAGATAAGGGATGCTGATGGCAGGGCTGAATGATGGCAGTACAAGAAACGACTACTCAGTCCCAGGGCTTGTGGTTTGTTAAGACTGCCATAAGGTATTAATAAAGGAAAAATCCTAAGAATATACAATCGCCTAAATGTACAGAGGAGTTCTAGAACATTTAAAAGCTAACTGCCTGATTATTATTATGAAGACCAATGGCAAAATATACAGTTATTAAACACAAAACATAACCAAAAAACCCTGTAAATGTTTTGTTTTCACATCAAAAAATGTATTTTTCCCCATTGTACTAGACTCCAGCTTGAATGCTATAATCTTGGCAAATAAATATGCATGTTTTACTTCCACTTGAAGAGTTTCAAAACCCTCAAACACACTCACCATGGCTCCTCTATAGTATGCTGTCGTGATTGTTCGGAATCTTTCTTGACCCGCTGTGTCCCTAAAATTTGAAACAAAGGAGAGTGGTTTTAACAGTCATCACCAGCATCACCAAGGAGAGACCCTCAGCTGGAGGAGATATAATTCTGGTCTGCTCACAGCGCAGGGGTTGCAGGGAAAGCAGAAGGAGACACAAAGGGAGCCCCCTGCACATGCGAGAGCTGGAGGCGGTGGTGGCCACGGGAGCCTGTCAGGAGCTCACAATGACTTGGGTGAAAAACTTGGATCCTAATGATAAAAGCAGCCAGGGGAAAATACACGAGCCCTGCTAGGAACTGGCGTGCTGTATTAGTCAACCACATGTGGGAGGGCATAGAAAATAGTTCTAAATTCTTGGGCTCCCAGAGGTAGTTACAATCCTTTTTATGAGTGCTTAGTGATTAAGGCATTTTGCTTTCTTGACTGAACGTCTGATTTCTGTACAAAGCAAGCAGTTGAGCTGGACTTACTACTGTGTACATTCTGCTCAGCAGAGCACAATAAAACGGATCTCCTCAAGAACTTTTCAGTTATGGAGCCCATGATTTCATGGGAACCTGGAGTTCAACACATAATTCTTGACAATGTTTCCAAAGACTTTTAAATATGAACAACACCTCAAAATTACATAAACTTTCATATATTGCTTTTTAGCTGATGGCATAACATTAAAATACATTCTAAAAAATATAAAAGTTTCTAATTACATTTATAGAAACAATCCTGTAAAGCGTGAAGTTGAATTTCCCTTGATATTTGGGAAAATCAATATTCTTAACTTTGCCACGCACAGCCAGAATTAATTCACTCTCTGCGCTACTAAGACAAACGAAATTGTACAATTTAATTGCAGGAGAGAAAGAGGCATTTATGGAAAAATATTAGAAACCTAGTATATACTAAACCCTAAAAAAAGATGAAGGCCCAAGAGAAATACAGTAAATTAAAAACAATAAATACCTTATCATTTATGTATACCTTACAAAACACTTCCACACTGCACTCACATGATGCCCACCACAGCTCAGTGTGTGTGTGTGTGTGTGTGTGTTGGGGCAGGGGGTGTTACCATCATCCTTGTTCTGCAGACAAGGAAGCAGGCTCAGAGGCGCTGTGTCCCAGCACTGCCACTAAACAGCTCATACTCTTGAAGGAGACAAGCATCCTAGGTCTCGGCTGGCCAGTGCATGGCCAGGCCTCACACAAAGCCACCTTACTCTGTCATTCTCTCACTGATCAGGATTAGACACACGGGGCACTTGTTTGGTGCACAGCAAACGGATCATGGGGAACATGGAAACCAAGCACCTTTGAGCAGACTAACCATATTTTCTTGGCTCAAACACACTGCTAGTCTAGAGCCAGCTTTGCAGTGGGGATGGAGGAGAAATCCTACCATGCTAAAGGTGGATGTGAGGACTGAATGGAGACAACTTTGCTGCTAAGAGTAGTGACGAAGAGGCAGGGCCATGATGTTTTGGCTACTCTATATTAAGTTCTAAGGAGCTATGATCACCCACAGGATCCTAGAAACACTCCTTATTGCTATGATCAGGACTGTTAGCACAGAGTCAAAAATTCTCTTTGCTTCCCTCTTATTAATAAAACATTTTAAAATAATCTTTAAAATATTTGGCGTCTGCTTAAATGCCAACAGATGAAAAGGGCAGCCTGTGGTAACTTCACAATGTTCTCCAATGAAGTATACTGAGAACCGTTTAAAGCTGACCACCATGTTCCAGGAGATTTGGGTAGCTGTCCCCCCTTTATCACTAACGCAGACATACACCCTCAGATGGACTTAAGCACTCCAAGTCCTAGTTTTCTCCTAGGAAGGGCTGGGGGATTTCAATGTAATATTCTCATTTTATCCCAATCCTGAGATTCAAAGAAGATAAAGAACCTAATGAAAAAGCTGATATTATATTACTTTACTACTTAGCACTGCCTCCTTCTTAGTTTATGCTGCTTGAAATTCTAAGCTTTGTTTACCGCTGTCATCTTTACATATTAGATCAGCAAACATCACCAAAAACTTTCCTCAAGGTTCCAGATCTATATGGCTCCAAGCGAGCCATTGTACTGAAAGAAATTAAGCTGCACCTAAGAGGTTAAAAAAATCTAAGAAGAGCTGCTGAGTTCAAGTAAAAACTATTAAACCTAGCAACTGTGGAAGAACCATATATATCCATCATAGTTTGACAAACTCTTTAGGAATTTACCAGCCAGAGTTGGGTGATCATAAGGAGATCTTTGCCTTGCATATTTCAAAATGAAAGCTGGGAGACATGCTGCAGACTGATAGTTTGCGTTTCTTCAAAATTCCTATATTGAAGCCTAATCCTCAATGTGATGGTATTTGGACAAGGAGCTTTTGGGAGCTAATTAGGTCACAAGGGCCCTCATGAGTGGGATTAGTGCCCCTATAAGAGACAGCAGAGAGAGATGATCGCTCTCCAGGTCACATGAGGACACACGTGAGACAGCTGTCTACAAGCCAGGAAGGAAGCTGTCACTAGACACTGGATCTGCTGGCATCTTGATGTTGACTTGCTACCCTCCAGAACTGTGAGAAATAAATGTTTATTGTTTAAGACACCCAGTCTATGGTATTTTTATTATAGTACCTGTGATAGTGTACTATAATAAGAAATCCATATTTGGTCTCTGCCTCTGGTTCTTGGCACACAGCTCCTAAAATCCTTGGAATCTCCAAAGTGATAAGTTTCTTTTTGTATGCTAATAAGATATCTGGTGGCTGAGGCTCCTGATTAGTATCAGGATGGGAGACTGGTTGCCAGGAGAACCAACCAAGTGATTAGAGGGTTGGAACTTCAGTCTGACCATCTAACCTCTGGGTAAGGGAGAAGGGCTGAAGGTTGAATTGATTACCAATGGCTAACAATATAATCTATCATGCCAACATAATAAAGCTTCTAATAAAAACCCCAAAGGGGTTAGGTGAAGTGGCTCAAGACTGTAATCCTAGCACTCTGGGAGGCCAAGGCAAGACCGCTTGAGGCCAAGAGTTCCAGACCAGCCTGAGCAAGAGCAAGACCCCATCTTTATGTAGTCCCAGCTACTTCAGGCTGAAGCAGGAGGATAATTTGAGCCCAGGAGTTTGAGGCTGCAGTGAGCTACGATGACATCACTGCACTCTAGCCAGGATGACAGAGCGAGACCCTGTCTCGAAAAAACAAAACAAAGCAAAGCAAAGCAAAACAAAACAAAACCCAAAAGGACTAGGTTCGGAAAGCTTCCAGATAGCATGGAGGTGCTTAGAGTGTGGGGCGCCCCCTCCCACGTGGAAGACAGCATGGAAGTTTTGCATCCCTTCTCACATGGCTTGCCTTGTGCATCTCTTCCATCTGACTGTTCATCTGTATCCTTTGTAATATCCTTTATAATAAATAGGTAACATATGTGCTTCCCAGAGTTCTATGAGATGCTCTAGCAAATTAATGGAACCCAAGAAAGGGGTCGTGGGAATCCTGGTTTATAGACAGTTGGTCAGAAGTATAGGTTACAATCTACTACAGGTTGAATATACCCAATCCAAAAATCTGAAATCCAAAATCTGCAACTTTTTGAGCACCAACATGACACACAAGTGGAAAATTCCACACCTGACTGTGATAGGTTACAGTCAAAATGCAGGCACACGACACACAGTTTATGAAAAGTATTAAAAATATTTTATAAAATTACCTTCAGGCTATTTGTATCAGGTGTATACAAAACATAAATGGACTTCATGTTTAGACCTGGGTCCCATTCCCAAGATATCTCATCGTGTATATGCAAATATTTCAAAAAATGGAAAAGTCCAAAACTCCAAACACTTCTGTTCCCCAGCATTTCGGATATGGAATACTCAACCTGTGCTTGAGACTGGCATCTGAAATAGAGATAGTCTTGTGGGACCCAGCCCTCAACCTGTGGGATCTGATGCTATCTCTAGGTAGGCAGTGTCAGAATTGAGTTAAATCACAGGACACCCAGTTGGTGTGTACAGGAGAATTGTTTGGTGTGCGGGGATGGGGTGCGGGGAGACCCCCACATCTGTCATCAGAAGTGTTGTGCTGACTGTGTAAGAGAAAAAAGGTGTTTTTAAAAAATATCTTACAGAGCAGCCCAAACTAAGACATGACTTTTTTCTCCCTTATTTCCCAGTCCAATAGTTTTCATTTTTCCATTCAATAAGAAGAAATATGCAAATAAATGATAAAATATCAGAGCTGGAGGGAAACTCTCATGTTATCAATCCAACCAATTTACAAATGAGGAAAAGTACACCTTAAAAAGGGAAGTAACTGGCCAAAGCCCTCAATTTAGAGGCATCATGGCCAGAATCTACATTTGTACTTCCTGCTCTGGGATCCTACTGCCTGACCACTTTTTGCCTTCCCTGATTTCAAAGCTGAAACAACCACAATGAAGAAGTAATTTGCACTCTTTAGAATTTAGTTTCCTCTCCCACAAAATTAGGGTTTTGGAAGAATGAATTGTCATCTCTCTTATGGCTCCAAGAGTTAGTACCATCCCTCACCTTCCCACTCTTGGTGGAGATACCTTTGAAGGATGCTCAATACTTAACCCATTTCCCCTTGGCTCTGACAAAGAAAAGACATTTTAGCTATCATAGGATGCCTCTAACTTATCACAATTCACATTTTAATTCCTACTTTCAACTCCTAATTAAAGTAGAAAATCTGTGTGTATGTGTGTGGTTTTTTTTTTTTTTTTTACTTACCATATCTGAAGCTTAATTTTCTTTCCGTCTAGTTCTATTGTTCTGATTTTAAAATCAATTCCTGCCAGAAAAACAAGAAAGATATGCTAAGTTTCTTCAAATGTAATTTCTTCAAATATAATCCAAGTCTTATTAGGAAGAGGACAAAGATTTCTATTGAAAAAAAGCTCTCCAACGCACTGGAAAATGTGAACACAGAGAGGGTGTGAATGGTATGTTTCCTCTGAATACAAGCTGAAGAAAGGAATGCTAATTACTCAGCAAAGAATTCCCACACATGTTAAATGCACGTATTATATGCCTCATTATTCTGACACAAATGGATCACATCCTGCAAAGTTACATAATTTAGATAGATTGAGAACATGCCACATTTTCTACTTTCTGAAATATTAATACATATAAACAATGCTTCCCACCCTCACCCCCCATCTTTCCCTGGGACCTCTTTAAAATATCTTCTCCTCCATCTCCCTCCATTTGTTTCTTCAGAATTTGCAACTGACTGAGGAAAAAGAAAAAAAACCCAACCCCCAAACCCTGCCTATTTGATGGCAGGGGAGGGAGGGAAAGCTGGCACGTCTACTTTATACGGTTAGCAAGTATTTTACATACATTTTAATAAATGTTCCCCACATATAACTGGATAGACCTGAAATAGCCAGAATGAATTTTAGCCCTGGCTGCACTTAGGAACTACCCAGTACTATGATTTGAATGTCTCTCCAAAAACTCATATTGAAATTTAATTGCCATTGTGACAGTAATAAGAGGTGGGACCTTTAAGAGCTGATTGGGTCCTGAGGGCAGAGCCCCCATGAATGAACTGTCCTCATGGCAGGAGTGGGTTAGTTATCCTTCATGCTCTCTCTCTTGCATGTGCTCGCTTGTCCTTCAGCTCTTCTGCCATGGCATAATGCAGCTAGAAGCACCAGATGCCAGTGCCATGTCATTGAGTCCCAGGACTTCCCAACCTCCAGAACCATTTGCTAAATAAATTTCTGTTCATTGTCAATTACCCAGTCTCAGGTATTCAGAAGAAAATGGATTAAGACACTTGGGGAACTTTAAAAAAATACTCATCCCCAAATTCTGAGATTCTGACTTAACTGGTCAAGGGTGGGCCCTGGGCACTAGTAATTTTAAGAGTTTCCCAGGCGATTCTAACCTGAAGTGAAGAAGAACTTAACAGGGCCTGACAGGTGGGATGTGAAAGTCATTTGGGGCTCTGGTACTTCCCAAGTTCAAGCTCTCCCTTACCTACTTCCCCCTACCATGGTAGCTCAAAACTTGTTATTTATCAATTTCAACCACAAAGAACCACAAAGCAGTTGACAAATATCAGCATGTTCTATCACATACCAGGAATAAGCTTTCTGAGGAGACCAGTCAGTGAATACAACTAAAGTGCAATTTGCTAAACCCTCATCATCTGGCTACTCAGTTTGTTTTATATTTTTCTATTTTTTTGCACGCTGTATAAAAAAAAAACCCTTAATGTGGTTTCCAAAACATTTCAAGAAAACATGTAAATTATGTATCCTCTAAGTTGACTTAAACATTAATTGCAGTTATTTTGGGGAGGGGGCTTCAACCGCTATGTTACTACAACCTTCTTTCATACAAACATTGAAAGTACCCCAAAATGCTGCTTCACAGCTCCAGCTTTATATATGTGTAGGCAAAACCAATTGGATTTTTCCCTTCTTCTCTATGTGGTACTTTTCCTCCAGGGAGTCTTGTGAATCTTGAAACAGACAACACTCACACCCAAGCTAATCAAGCAGAACAGCTTCTTAATCATTCTTTCCCCTCACCAATAACCAACCATGGATTGTTAACAAATACAATCAATATCCCCAGGTTATTTGACTCTAATTTTCTCCACTAAGGTACCTCCCTCAGCATTGCAGGGTCTGCAATGTTGGAAGCAAAACTTAGCAACACAGCATAATTGTTATTGCTTGCATCCCACAGAATTTATTGTGGCCATCGCTCATTTAAGACTTAATAGACATTGATTTTTATTGTGATTTATGTTTTTCTAAACACAATCTAGTGTAACAAAGACCTTCAGGAATCTTCCTCTATCTTTTATCTCTTTCTGTCCTGGCATCAAGAACAATGTCCAACACCTGGTAGGTATTTAATAAATATTTCTTGAGATTAACATTTTGAAAAAAGTTCATGACTTTCCAAATCCATAGAAACAGGCCGGGCGCGGTGGCTCACACCTGTAATCCTAGCACTCTGGGAGGCCAAGGAGGGTGAATTGCTCGAGGTAAGGAGTTCGAAACCAGCCTGAGCAAGAGTGAGACCCCGTCTCTACTATAAATAGAAAGAAATTAATTGGCCAACTAATATATATAGAAAAAATTAGCTGGGCATGGTGGCGCATGCCTGTAGTCCCAGCTACTTGGGAGGCTGAGGCAGGAGGATCGCTTGAGCTGAGGCAGGAGGATTGCTTGAGCCCAGGAGTTTGAGGTTGCTGCGAGCTAGGCTGATGCCACGGCACTCACTGTAGCCTGGGCAACAAAGTGAGACTCTGTCTCAAAAACAAAAGAAAAACAAATCCATAGAAACAAAAAGTAGTTACCAGGAGCTGGAAAGAGGGTAAAAGGGAGTTGTTGTTTAATGGGTGAGTTTCGGATTTACAAGATAAAATAGTTCTGGAGATCAGTTGCACAACAATGTAAATATACTAAACACGACTGAAGTGTACTTTAAAATTGGTTAAGATGGAAACTTTACGTGTTTTTTTACCACAATAAAAAAGGGAAAAAATCATGACTTTCAAAGTGTTTACTGTATCTTTGAAGAATAAATTAAAAGGCTAATGTCCAATATTTCATCATTTAATAGCTCATTCACATTTCAAATAAAAGATAATGTATATAAAAATGTCTGTTCAGATTAATACTTTCCTTATTCTGGTTTATTAAGATGGTAACTCCTGTTTTTTCAAGGTACTTTACCACCTTCATTCAATAAAGCTATTTTGAGGGTTCCTTAATGTCTCACTCTCCAGTTAAAATGCTTTGAAAAATTTCCACTAACCTAGTCTTTTAGGTATTTTGTATTTGTTAGAAATAATTACCTTTCAGTTATTTGAGGAAGTTCTAAAAGATGGTGATACTTAACCATATTTTCACTATTCAAAGGTTTTCCATGTTTTAAGAGTTGTGAACGGTGGTATTTAGCTTTTGCTTATGCTGTTGTTAAGGGTCAATGGATACAAGTGCTGTGAAGCCCAGTCAAATTAGCACAACACAGGAAAAAAAAAAAGCAAGCAGGGATCTAAAATGGGTAACATTTCTAGAAAGTAAGAAATTTTCCTAAAAATGGGGAAAAAAATCATTATTACTGAAAAGCACTGAATCATAGGTTAGGTTCTGTCATTAACAACTTTTAGACACGTTGCTTAACTGCTCTAAACCTCTATATCCTCATCTATAAAAAAGGCTGAGAGCATCTAATTAGGTAAATTATATAATGTGTGCGAGCGCTTTGGGAACTCTGAAATTCCAGATAAACCTAAGAGATTACATATTCGGATTCCATTATCCTACAGCTCTTGTCACTTCATGCACGGATTATTTATAATAGCTTCCCAGGATACTGTGCCAACATCTCTCCCTGGTCTAATTCCCCTACGTGCCACTTCTAGAATAACTTTCAACAATCCCTGTGGTAATGTCACTGCACTATTTAAGGAACCATGGATCCAACTTCCTCAACCTGGCGATACAGCGTTTCCTGGATGTAATTTTCTCCTGACCCTGCAACTCTCAAGAGTTTCTCCAACTTAGGCCCTTTGTTCTCTCTGTAGCCCCATACCTCCCCTTCCTTTACTTCCGCCTGACAACCTCACCGTAGCCTTCTCGGAGTGGGCCACTCTACCCATGCAGTTCTCTCTCTCCTCAGCTCTCTACTCAGACATGTCCATCTCTACCTCAAGGCTTGGCTTTTGCACAGTGATTTAATCCAGTATTATTTGGTTTTATTAACATATTGCTCTGTAACTGCTCTCAAATCAAGCAAAGACCCCATCCTCTCTTTGCCAGTTAGGTTGTACACAGGAACGTATATATATATGGTAGATAGTAAATTAAAGGTTAAATACTCTTACATAATTTAAACAAAGGTTAAATGCTACTAAGTATGAATATGGCTTTAAAAACCTTGGAAGCTCAGTTTTCTTAATATACTATACTAACAATACGCTAGGATGCTGACAAATCTTATTCAAGTAAGAAAATGAAGATACATTACAATTAATTTGACAATAATATCAGTAGAAATATATAGTGGATTAACATTCACTTTAAAATTTAAAGTAAAGATAATTTCCTGAGGCTACTCTGGGGACTAAAAGAATAATTAGCTGTAAAATGATAATATAATTATATCAATTAGGATGCTTTTAGCTGCAAACAACAGAAACCCCAAATCAAACTATTATAGTTGAAGGTAATTTGTTGATTCATACAACAAGCCCAGTGGTGAGCTGGGGTTCAGAGATGGCTCAGCCTAGCGTTCTGCCTCCTTTCTCCACACCTCCCTTGGCTTTGCTCTCCTGGGAGTATCAATTTTATCCTCTGACGGATAGCAGTTCCTGACCACAACAGCAATACTGAGAAGAAAAGAGATCATCTTTTTCTGCCTCTCTCTTAAATTGAGAAAGTGTTTCCCCAAACCCTCCAATGAATTTTCCTTCATGTCTCATTTCCGGACTTATAACAACGTGAATGTCATGCTCTGGCAGTCTGAGGCTGAGTTCCTGCACCAAACACTCCCATGGGGAGCTACCCAGATTGGATTAATCTAAATCCATCCCTAAATTTAGATTAATCAAGGCCCATTCCTGGAGCTGGGTCACTCCTCCAATCCATAGGCCTGCTAAAAATAGTAGAGAGGGTAGAAAGGCTGTTGGGATTAACCATATCTTCTACAATAACACTCAAATCTAATTAATAAAATTTTATATTCACAGCTATATGAAATTAACAAATTATAACAGCTGTCACTACTACGCTGTCATGAATGTTATTACATTTAATG